TCCGGCTGGCCGGCACGACGGACATCGGCTGGGCAGAGATGCCGACCTGCCATTGACACTAGGTTGTAGGTTATTCTTTTAACAAAAACTCGATTCTGCGGACAAGCAGCGTGCGGTAGCAATAGGACAAGCAATGGATGTTTTTGAAAAAATATACTAATATACTATATACATTTAAGTAGGCGTAATTATACCAATTCATTTTAGTTGGCGTAGTTTTAACTTGCTCACACACATACGCCTAACATTTCATTAAAAAAGTTGTAGTTGCTGACGGGTTGCTTTAACTTCGCATGCATTCAACAGCCTAGTGTAGGGAAGGCTGCTACCTAGACTACTTTTGCCGCAGGTGCAATAAAAAGAACGGCACACAGTCGTGCTAGCCGCCAAACCCTTACCGCGGTACTCGGGTCGTCCTTAGTTAAGGCTAGAAAACGGCTCGTTTGTTGCAACAACGCCGACGGCCTGAATATATAAAACACAAGTTTGTCGCCTCGGGAGGTAAATACGTCCAGTTTTATGAAAACTGACGCACCCAGGAGAAATGTGTATTTTATGCTTTGATTTTCAATCATACATTTAGGTATTTTCTCCGGTATGGGTTGCAAACGGGTCTGGACGGCAGAATTTATTGACACCGGGAAATGTCTTGACGATTTATTATCTGCAAGCTATTACCGGCTTGCACTTCTTCTTCGTTTTGCAGCGACAGGGGACAGATGATAAATCATCAGTACCTGTGTTGCTTCTAAGAACGCCTGCTGTATTCACCTGCTGCAAATGGTTTAGCCTGACGAATATTTACTGAAAACATATGTTCGCCAACTTGACTTCTCGACTTAAGCATGGAACAATTTGCAGAATTTAGACCGTTAATTGTTGATTTTTGTTTAATCGTCAGCAGATTATATCTTAACCGAGTTAAACTGAATGAAACCTATGTGGGGGTACTCGCCTGCACGCTTTCCGCGGTCAGGTCTTCTATCTTGTACCTGGAGACTTCTTCGTGTTACCAAACCCAACTAAATCAAACTGTGTGTAGGTGGTGCTAGCCTGGACACACGGAAATTCTTCGTTACCATAAGAGTGGGGGAAACTTGCAATGTTTTACCTGCGGATGTTTTTTACTGTCAGCATCCGTAGAAAACAGGGAAAGGAAATTGAATTAGTATCGCAGTAGGCAACATAGTGCTATACGATCGCTGACGTCTTGGTGCCTCAAGCGAACATTTTGTTACCATGAAAATGTTACTTGAAATATTTAAGTAACGATAGTATTTACAATTAAGTCTCGTTTCCACCTCTGCGTAGATTCCTACTGACATTCAACATGACGCTTGCAGCATAAATGTGCTCAAACTAAATGCTGTAATACACGCCAAATATGCATATTTTTGCCGAGTGTTACGAATTATGACGGCTAATAGGCCGGAAATTACCATTCCAGTCTCCCTTGTCTTTGTTGGTAATGTATTTTTTGCCTATCGTTATTACAATCCTACTTATGCAATTTCTTCGAACCCAAACCAAATTTAGGAATTTCGGTTGAGTTTTCACGACATAAGGAATCTACTACACGCACACAGCCTGACTTAACTGCCTACGGCCCTACTAAAAGCACTAGAGTCCTCCAATAAGTGAGCCGTTCGGCGAACTTACCTTGAAGCCGGTTGGACACCAATCAACCAATGGCAAGTCGCCTGAACGGCGCAGTCGTTCGAGACTGGCGTTGACCTCGCGGACCCCGGCTTTGCCCCGGTAGAACAGACAACAGGACAGGTAGATGGGCTGCTCCCCGCTGTGGCTGATGAGTTGATTGGCCGGCGAAAAAACCTCATCTGTGAGATGAGACGTGCTTGGGGCTGAAACGCATACAGACGAGAAGGGTCAGTGAAAATTTTTGGAAGAGAGAAATGATTGGAAAGAAGAGAAGAAAGAAAGCAGCCTACCCCAGCGGTCGAGGGACTCTTGGATGGCAAATGGTGCAAAAGCGGTGAGCGCAAAGTGGGCTTCCGGATAGGGAACCAGATTTGTGCGCAGATCACTGATGTTCATATTGCTCAGCCCATTGAAGCGAAAGGAGGCCGTAAGTCCGCTCAAAGTCTGTGTATGCAGAAACGACAGAATCAGACGGGCCGTGCTACTTCAGGCGGAATAATACAGTACTCAGTTATATACCACGGAGTTTCAAAAGTTTGCAATCTATCAACACTATCAATCAAATACAGGTAAGAGTGACCCAAAAAGAGAGAATAAGAGATTGGGGGATCCAGACGTAGAAGATGCGATTGCTAGGACAAAAAGTTAAGTTGTCTGACGTTTTGGATTCTGTTGAAAACACTTCATCAGAGGCAATCGTAGAATAGGATGATGCTTGCACAATTGAGGGTGATATATGCACAGATTGCGCAGTATTTATAGTTCGTTGTGGCCACTTGACCGTATGTGAGACCGAAAAACCCACTGCCACAGCAGAAAACGGCTGGATGGGTTTACCGGAAGTGCTGCAGCTGTGGACAAAGCAGCTACGTCGGAGAAGCCAAGAGATTACCCCGGACGCGAATAGCCGAGCACGCAGAATCAGTAAGGAGGGAATACCCTACCGTCCAGGTTGCAGTTCACTAGACGGAACCCGGCCATATATTCAAAGTTACCGAGACCAAAATCCTCGCAAGAAGTGACAACTGCGTGAGCCGCGAGCTGCTCGATTCATGGTATTCAGGTCCACAGTCAAACAACAAGCGCAACGACTTGCCGTTCCCATACTCCGTACTGAGTAGGAGAATTAATCACATGGAAGGGCCAGGCCCAGCAACAATTCCAATAACAGCGAACGTACTTGTCGCGTACTTACCAAGCCCGCATCCAACGTGGGTGACGAAATTGCGGCAATAAAGGACTCGGAAGCGGACCGCCAAGACAACACCACACCAATTGCGACCCCCAGTGGTTGTTACAGAAGCCGATAATTATAGTGCACATCCGGTCCCTATAAACACTGCCTAGTCTTTGTGTGCATCACCCTAATCAGCGCATGCATCACCTTATTCTATGGTTACCTCTGATGAAGGATTCTCGCCAGGATCGGAAAAGTCAGGCTTGTAAACTTCTTGTTCTACGGATCCCATCTTCTACTTCTGAACTGCCTCCTCGAACTCACCTTTTCGCTTCTAACGGTAGAGTGAGGAATCGTCAGAAGGGAGTCTGCAAGGCCAGCTCGAATACTTCGGAAGGCCAAGTGATCCTCGTTTGTGATAAGCATTAACTCGGTGCTCCAAGCAGTTAAAGTTTACAACGGCATTTTCATCGACTTCTCATAAAACCTGGACGCT